TGTAATTTATTGGGGAACATTGAGTGGTTCTGTAATGAAGCAAAAACTCAACAGCAAGGAGGAGCACATGATGCAGTACAACAAGAAGAAGATAAACTCTTTATTGCTACCTGTTTTTCATGAGACGCTCAATGTGATAGTTGGTTGGTTGGTTGATAGTGAATGTATCAATCACATGACAACTGACAAAGTATTGTTCAAGGACTTTGACAAGTCATTCAAGTCAAGGGTGAAGATAGGGAATGGTCATAAGTATCTAAAAGTGAAGGGGAAGGATACAATGTCAACAAAGAGCTATGCTGGAACCAAGTTAATTACTGATGTGTACTTTGTTTCTGTGATTGATCAAGACCTGTTAAGTTTTGGTCTACTAGAATAGAAGGGATTTAAAATGATGTTTGAAGAAGGAGAGTGTCTCATTTCTAATTATAGTGGGAACGAGTCGTTCAAAATAAAGATGCAGTACAAGAGCTTCTCATTAGATCCACTCGAGAAGGAGAAAATAGCTTTCAAGTGTCAAGTGAATGACACTAAGCTATAACACAATCAGTTGGAGCATTTTCATCATAAGGGATTGCAGTATCTGCAGAAAAATGAGATGACAGTATGAATACAAGTTTTGGAGGAACTAAAAACAAACCGCATAGCTTGTTTAACAGGGAAGCAAACAAGGCTGTCATTCAAGAAGTCAATCTGGAAAGCAACTAAGAAGCTGCAGCTCATTCATACTAACTTGTGTGGACCTCAACCAACTCTCTCACTGAATGGCAATAGGTATTTCATTATCTTAATTGATAATTATACCAAAATGTGTTAGATATATTTCATGAAGCATAAGTCTAAAGCAGCTAAAGTGTTTCTAAAGTGTAAAATATCGGTTGAGAATTAAAGTGGTTGTAAGATTCAAGTGGTAAGGACCGATAATGGGATTGAATATACATCACAACGGTTTAATTACTTCTATGAAGAAGCTGGGATAGAGCATCAGCTCACTACTCCATATTCTCGACAACAAAATGGAGTTAGTGAGAGGAAGAATAGGTGTATTATGGAGATGACAAGATGCTTGGTGCATGAGAAGAATTGTCAACGGAGTTTTGGGCGAAAGCATCAAACATAACAGTCTTTCTATTGAGTAGACTACCTACAATAGTCTTGGAGAATAAGACACTCTATGAAACTTGGTTTGATAGTAAACCAAAACTGTCAATTACTGACAAATTTGAAAGTGTTTGGTTGTTTGTGTTTTTTTCATGTTCCATAGGTGAAGAGAGACAGGTTAAGTGAAAAGGCGGGACTAGGAATCTTTGTAGGCTATAGCATGACGTCCAAAGCCTACGAGATCTATCAACTTCACATAGATAGATGGTGATTAGTAGAGATGTTCGATTTTTGGAGGATGAAGAGTGGGACTGGACAAAAGAAGCAGAGGTGGAGCAACAAGAAGTCTCTCTAGATCCTGATGAACTAGTTTATGATGCATCAGTTAGAGGGACTAGACTACTGAATGAGGTGTATGAAAGAAGTATTGTAGCTGTGTTAGAGCCTGCAGGGTATGAAGAAGCTAAAAAAATATCAGAAGTGGATAGAGGTAATGAATGAAGAGTTGAGTATGATAGAGAAGAACAAAACATGAGAGCTGGTAGAGAAGTCTGCTGACAGAATGGTGATTGGAGTCAAATGGGTTTATGAGATCAAATTGAATCCAAATGGCTTTGTGAACAAGCTCAAGACCAGGTTAGTGGTGAAAGGGTATGCACAAGTCTGGAGAGTTGATTTCTCTAAGACTTTTGCACCGTTTGCAAGGATGGACAAAATCAGGTTGCCATTGGCTGTGTCGGCTCAGCATGGATGAAAAGTGTAACAGCTGGATATGAAGTCAGCATTCCTAAATATAGTGTTAGAAGAAGAGACATGTATTGAACAACTAGACGGGTTCATTACACCAAGACAAAAGCAGAAGGTTTATTTATTGAAGAATGCTCTCTATGAGTTGAAACAAGCTCCTAAGGCATGGTACAGCAAGATGGATGATCACTTGCTGAACTTGGGTTTTGTGAAGAGCCTAAGTGAATCCGCACTCTACGTGAAGAAATCAAGTACTGTTGTTGTGATTGTATCTCTCTATGTAGATGACTTACTGGTGACAGGAAGTGATAGTATTCAGATAGAGTTGTTCAAGCAAGAAATGATGAAAGTGTTTGAGATGACTGATTTAGGTTTGATGCATTACTTTTGTAGGTACGGAGATTCAGCAAGGGCAGAATTAATTGTTTATCTATCAGAAGAAGTACATGAGAGAGATATTGAAGAGGTTCAATATGGAGGAGTGTAAGAGTGTGAACATTCCAACGATTCAGAATGAGAAGTTGCAAAAGGACGATGGAGAGGAACCTGTAGATGATAATGTGTACAGAAGTCTAGTTGGATGTCTCATATATCTCACATCCACTAGACCTGACATCATGTACAGTGTAAGTGTATTATCTAAATTTCTTCACTATGCAAGCAAGAATCATATGATTGCTGGAAAAATGGCTGTGAGATATCTAAAAGGCACAGTGTCTTTTGGGATAAAATTCAATAAAGTTGAAAATTTTGAGTTGTAGGGTTACTCATATAGTGATTGGACTGGGTCATTGGATGATATAAAGAGCACCTTTAGCTATTATTTCACTTTTGGCTCAGGGTGTTTCTCATGGTGTTCAAAAGAACAAGATATAGTGGCTGAGTAAACTGCAAAAGCTGAGTTCATTGCAGGAACGACAACAGTCAACCAAACTGTTTGGTTGAATAAGTTGATGCATGACTTGCATCTGAAGCAAGAAGAGAGTGTGAAGGTGTTTGTGAATAATCAAGCCACTCTAGCTATTTCATTGAATCTGGTTTTTCATGGAAGGACCTAGCATTTTAAGATCAAGTATTATGTTCTGAGAGAAATTTAAAAGGAATGAGAAGTGTAGCTGGTGCATTGCAGCTCAGAGGAGCAAATAGCATATATCTTCACTAAGTTCTTTAGTGTGGGTCGCTTTCAAGTTGGGTGTCTATAGCATTTGAGTTAAGAGGAGAATGTTAGTTAACTCAAGCTACCACTATAAGTTTGAATGTTAGTTTTGAGTTGGTCTAGTCTAAGTCCCAGTTTCTAGAGAGTTGTTGACTATTTTACTTGTAGTCGAGTCTTTTAAGTTGATATCTTATGAATTTAGTGGAGTAAGTTGCTAATTTTGTGGAGATAGTTGAGTCTATTTTTAGCATAAGTATGTATTTATATGGAACATTAAATGAAATTCACACTTCTCCACTTTCTCATTTCTCTACCAACAATAATAACTACATCGCATAAATAGATCTATTCCAATCTTTCACCTTGAATAATAGAGATTTTAGTTTTTCTTCCAAAGAGCCAAACCTAGTGGCCTACATTTGGCAAAAGAGGCCAAGTCTGATCAATTAGTTCCTAAAATTTATTATCATCTAGCCAAGTATTTTCTAATCGAAAAGGTTGGGGCCATTTTAGTGTATTTAGTTTCAAAATGATAGGAAAGTGATCTGAGGTAACACGAGCCAATCTATGAATAAGGTGACAATCAAACCTCTCACTCCAATCTTTGGTGTATAAGAATCTATCTAATCTTAAAAGAATAGGGGTGGAGCGAAGATTTGACCAACCTATATGATCCATTAGAGACAAGATGATCTCTAAAAGCTCATCTTCAGAAATAAAAGAATTTAAATTATTTCTATTATTCCTTGATGAGGAAAGGGATGTAGATTCTCCCATATATAAACATTAAAGTCATCCCTAGAAAGAACCCAACAGCGTGAACAAACTCCAGCAATATTAGCAAGCTCTTGTCAAAACTTTCTCAAAACTTTCTCCTTTTGCCGCATTTGGGGTTCCATCTCAAAATCAGGAGTAGTCCCTTAAATTACAAACTCTATTATTATGTCATCTATCTTTTTCAACATAAAAAATTATGCGTCGTTATGGTCTACAAAATCCTCCCTCTTTTGTAATTATGATCTTACTACTATTTCTTTAAATTGGAGTGTTTTCCTTTAAGCTTTTTTTTTTGTGTATGTTTCTCATGTATCTTAATGTAGTGATTCTCTTTCCAAAAAATAGATATCATTCATCAGGTAAAAAGAAGATTGATTTAATCCAAATTCGGAGAAGAAATACTAAGAACTGGGACAATGGAAAACAATACCTTTGCAAAATACAACGCAGAATTCTCAGCACACCGCACGATTGCTAGAAGGCCCTGCATGAAATTTCCAGATGTTTCGTTTTTGATTGCCTGCAAAGTTCGGGGATTAAACTTGTAACTTAACCGCATTTATATTTCCCAAATGCAAGGTATGTATATAATTTGGTTTCCAACAGTTTATATAATAATGAATGCACCTTTTTCAAAGAATGGCCATGTGAATTTTTGTAAGCCAAGTTAACAGCAGCTAGATGAGCACTGCTTCTTTCACTGAAAATCTTTATAAATTTGTCCTCATCAGTTCCCCATCTCTTCTCTCCAGCTTTGTACAGAGCCTCCGAATCTTTCTCTACCGAATCTTTGTCAATTTCTGGTCCTTCGTATCGTGGTATACTAACGTAGGCCAATAGCAGCTGCAAATAAATCAAACTTTGTTTCAACTTTAAGATCATTAAAAAAGTTTATTTAAACAAAAAAATGAAAAAGCTCACTATTCAAACGTTTAAATAAAAAATAACACGAGCATATTGGTGTTAATATGATATGGAATACTTCTCTCGTTGCCAATTAATTTTGAAATGAAATTCCATGAGTATTGATCTAGTATCACAATTCAACCGGCTCAAATGAACATCCAATTTAAAAAATGGGATCTGACCAAGATTGGTGACTCAAAAGAGCCACCACGCATATATATGTTAAGATCCTACATTCAAAATATGAGAGACTTTAGAAAAGTTTATAATAGACATGTACTACTTCTGTTATAGTCAATTTGAGATAGAACCATATAAATTTTGATAGGTCTCTCCAYGAAGAAGAGGGGAGAGGAGAAGCGGAGTGAAGAAGACCGGAGGAGGTAGTAATCTTACTTTCATCTTAGATTAAAGAATGAAATAAAGATGTTAGTTCAGGGATAATTTAACTAAATAGAAATCATCTAACATTCCTGCTTTTGTTTCTTCATTTTTAATGAGTAAAATGAATTGCATGGCTCTCACATCTAAGGATTTAAATATGATAAAACAATTTTTTATTTATGTTTTGGAACAAATTGAAAATGAGAAYAGAAAAAAGAAACTTGTTTAGGTTGTTTCCAAAATTTCTATAAAACATTCAAAAAAAGTAAGAAACAATAAACATAGTTAGTTGTAAAATGCTTAAACTTCTTAAGAAAATTGGAACGAGAAACAGAACGTTACCAGAGCCCAAAAGTTTCTTGTTTTTGTTTGATAAGAAAAACATAATTACGTTACTATTTCATTTTTCTTTTTTTTTTTTGTCTTTCTTTTTTATTGAGATAGATATAATTTTAGAAACGTTTCCAAAAATGAGAAACTAGAAACAAAAACAACTACTCAACGCTTATATTAACTTTTTAAAAAACTAAAACCAAGAAATAGACACATTACTAAACGACTCATTAGTAACCGAGATCTACGTAAAGAGAGCGTATATGACCTTTTTGTGATCACCCGAGGCAGTTTTCTGAATATCATGTTCAATATATGATTGAAACATGGTCAAGTAAACTTGTTTAAAATGCTGAATCTGTGTTGATGTACGAGAACATATTACTTCAGTGGCAACTCTCAAATGCACAGTTTCTCCACATAAAGCCTCCTTCACTATGACAGCATCTCGGCTTACTGGATCATACATCCATAGCAATACTGCTTTCTGCAAACATACAAAATATATCATATTTTGATTATTCAATTGATACCCGACACAAATACCGGCCTTGAATGTCTATTTTAATCCTTAAACTTTAAAATTGTAGCGATTTTTAGTCTCTATCTTTATTTTGGTTTTGACAAAACTATTTTTTTTCTTTGTTCAGGCCGCAAAATAGAACAAACTAAAAGTTGAGATACTAAAATATAAATTTAAACCTATATACCAAAAGGAGAAAGAGAAGAACATAAATACAAGATTAAGAACGTTTGTGAGAGAGATTAATAAGAAAATAAAAAATAAAATGATATTAAACTCTTCTATTACATGTTTCAATTATAAGCTTAGAGACATTCCTTAGTTGATTACTTGGTGCATGTCATGACAAAAAAGGGACAAGTACAGGTGTAGACTCTTTAAATAATCTAATTACATAAATGGCTTAAATCTTAAAAAMTTTATAGATTTGTCAAAATATAAACTGTGCCTATATGAAAATTATCAAATTATCCCTATTTATATATTTTTAATAAATAAAAAAAACATGAAGGCGTAGAGCTACTATACAATTTCTATTTTTAATAAATAAATAAAATGGTAAACTCTAAATCCTAAACTTTAGACCTACTCGAGATAATTTCTCTAGTTTAATAAAGAAATAAAATCATAAACCCTAAACCTTATCCTAAAAATATATTTTAAAATATAATAATAAATATGATAGAATGACATTAATTGAGGGTAATTTTGAGAAAAAAAAATCCTGAAATTTTGGATTTGTAAATATTTTTTTTAGAATGATATTTGTGAAATATTATGTGGGACAAGATCCCACTTTAGATAATTTCTT